GTGTACACACATCTCGCACAAAAGATGTATGTATATGTGCGTACCTGTCTCTCTCACAGCTCTGTGTATGTGTATATCACACACCCCTACCTGTAATAAGCCAACAGTCCTGGTGTCTGTACACACCTCTTGCTCATCTATTTACATTCATTAAAGACCGTTTTCTTTAAAGGCGCCTTTCTTCACTCTATAAACCTCTTGGTTCGGTGCCTACCATTGTTTCTTGCTTTTCCTAGGGCGTAGGAACAGCTTGAAAGCCAAAGGAGGGATTTTTCTCTCTCCTTTCTTGAAGTTTAAAACGATGCTGGAAGAGAAGCAGCACCCAGTGCACCACAGCCCAGTCGGTCACAGAATAGCCTAGGAACGCCTTGGGGGAGCAAGTCACTCTCCTGCACGCGGTCCCAAATACCTCAGCTGACCTTGAACAACTGTCTCATAAAATTGGATTATTCTTTCTTTTCCTGCTTAAGACTTTTCGAACTTCTCAAACTTAGAAGGCCCCCGTGTCTGAAGAAGACCCTGAGCTGTTGTTAAAATAACAGGGCCACCCCAACACACACATACATTCTTCCCAAGACATTTGCTCTCAAAGAATTGGGCCAGCTCCAGATTTTTTATACAGTATTAGGGGGAAAAGTCTTCGTCTTGATACTCTGGCTTGCTCAGAGCACTAGGGCAGCTCCAGATCTTTAGTAGTGTTAAGGGGAAAACTCTTTACCCCCAAATTCTGGCTTTTGCAGCCAGCAGTCTATCATACCACAGACCCCAGGGAAGGGCCAACAGTGGTTCTTAGCCTTTTCCACATTAGCTGTTACTAAGATGGTAAGGACAGGGTGGTCATCAACTTCCGATGCCTGTTTGCAAGCCTCAGGTTTAAGCAGACTGCTATGAAAGCTCTGCAATAGGCTTCAGAGAAATACAAGGACTTTTTGCGCTTTGGCTCCTCTTGCTAACCAGCACCAGAGCAGCAAGATCTAGAGCTGTACAAGTAGCCAATTTCCACACTAAAAAATATTAGTTTCCTTCATTTCTGCTCAGATGAAGGACTCTGTTGGACACAAAACAGAATGATTTAGTTCTGAAATGGCAGTTTAAGTTTGCTGTCTTAAATCCTGGTTAAAGGGGAAACTTAGAAATAAAAAAACCCCCAAACGTTTGCTTTCAAAAAAGGGTTTGACTTATCATTTTTGTTGGCTTCAAGGAATAAAAAACTGGCAAAGCAGGAATTTACAAATCTGAAATGTTTTGTTAAAACACATTAGTTGAAACAGCTTCTCACAGCGCTGCCGAGATCTGCTTTTCAGTTCTGCTGTCCTACTGGACAAGCAGCTTTATGTTAAAAAAACCCTCCAGAAAACCCAAACAACCCCTGATCCTTTGTTCAGGAAGGCAGCACAAATTCAACAACAGGGACTTGGATCTGGTCACGTCTTCCAACCCTCGCAAACTAGATTTGTAGGGAATCAAAAAATGTGAACCTGCTCCTATTGGATAAACTTCCTTTTAATTCCTAATACTTCCCCAATGCAAAGTTTTAGACACAAAAACAACTTCTGTTGAACTTGTCTGCAGCAAGTCATTTGGGTTTCACTACACTTCACTTCACTCCTAGCTTTGCATAGCTGCAAACTTCAAGTTAAGGACTTGAAAAGAAATGTTTCACAAAAGGTTCCACTGGAAATGTTTTTTGGAACAGTGCAAACTGTAAGATGGGTATTTTGGTCTCAGCAAATAGTCTGTGTCCAGATGAGTGTGGAAGTGTGGTTTGTGGTGCTGCAGACCCAACTGCGGCATCACACTCTGTACATGCAGGCGTTCCCCGCACTGCTACCTTGCAGCATGGGGGAGGTCATAAAAACCCATACTGAAAAAGAGCAGAGCATAGGTGTTCCCCGGGAGCAGCACAAGGTGTGGTGGGGGAAACTGTGTTGCGGGGGTTGGGGGAATCACAGGGATGCAGCCATAAAGTTTGCTTGAATTCAAGTGGAACATCCCCTTAAAAACCCTTGCTTCTCTGCAGACGGCAGCTCCCTGCCCCTGGCCATGCAAATACATTAGAGGTATTAAATCAGAGCCAGGTGTGCGCCTCGGAGCGCCTGCACACGTACAGAAGTGTTTGTAATTGCACACATGCATGCGGGAGTGGAGAAGCTGCAGGGGGAAAAAAAGTTCTTAGAGCAAGTGACTCCAGGAGCAAACACCTCGGAGAATTAAAACGTCTTTGGATATTTGTTCTCTTGCTATTGTTGGCATCACCTTGAGTACAGGATGCCTGCCTGCATTATGTAAACACTTGGTTGATAAATCCCTCCCCCATCTCCCTTAACAAGCCATGTCAGACTCTTCTTTGCTGACAGATACAGTCGAAACAGATGCTGCTATAAATACCCGTGTTTAGTTGTTTTGAACGTAATGCGTCTCCTGTAGGACAGACCGAGGGCTCCGGTTATCTGTGAACCTGCACCTGTGCTGGAGCTCATTGCTGTGCAATGTGAAGTTTCTGGTGCGCACAGCAGCATGCCTTCCTGGGATCCCTTTGTACACGCAGCTGGAAGAGACAGGGACCTCTGCCGCCCTTACAGTGAACACTGCCAGGCTTTGTAAGCCTTCCCTTGGATTAAGGATCAATACTATTTTTAAAGCTTGCAGATACCGGCGTGTGGGTCTGGCCCTTTCATTTTTCAGTGATCTTTGCTCTGGACCAGAGCAAAATCTGCTGTAATCTCCATGACGCTCCTACACATTATCCTCAGTAGTTTCTGTTCTATGTAGGAGAAGAGATGCCCAGCAAGGATGGCTTCATCAGGATGTAAACTATTAGCCATGATGTTTTGCTCATTTTTGGTGCATTGTACCCCAAAACTCAGTCCTTCTACCTTGGAAGATGCCAAAATAAAATACCATTTGGGCTTTTATCACAATGGGAGTCCTCATCCTCTCCCACCTCTTTCTAGGGTTAAATATGGTCACCAGTGACAAAAGCTCAGAGACTCTTCAAGCATTAGAGATGGGTCTGATCCCACAGCATGCACCCTTTGATTTCAGAGGGCTTTGAACTTGACACTTGTGAGACTTAGGAGGTGGCAGTCTTAAAATGTCTCGAACGGACTTTGGCTGACATAAGGGACTGCGGCTGAGTGTGTCGATCAGGCCTGCAGCAGCAAGACCTCCACTGCGGTCAAGGATTTCCTTGTCTCCCAGCACTAGTGTGCTGAAGTTCAGACCTAAACACTGCTGCTTCAGTGCCCTGTCCCCCCACCCCACTAGCAGTCAGGCTTTGCAGGAAGCCTCTGCCAGTGCAGCAATCATTCAGGGCTTTGCCCACCCAGTCATGTTGGAGGCTAAAGTGTTAAAGCATCTTAGCATTTTTCTTGCTCTCCCATGGAAGCACTAGTGGAGCCTGCCCACCCCATTTTACCATTATTATCCAGGCCTGCAACTCTAAATGAGATGGTGGCTAAAATGCTCCCAAGAGTGGGGCTGCCTGGAGAAGAGATTGAGGAATACCAGCGTCGTATCCGAAGAGGCAGTGCTCTCATTAAGAGGCTTTTGGGAGAAGGCCGGTTTCATCCGTCAGCTTGGATGTGTCGCCCTAATGTTTCAATCTGTCTAAGCAGATCAGTTTTCTTGATCGAGTGGCCACAGACCACTCTTGCTATTCTTAAAGGAAATAAAGGAATTGCAACAGATGCATAGCAGGCATGGGGACTTGTTTTTTCCTTTTTTTTTTTTTTAATAAAGTAATATTAAATACACCTTCCCACTAGCTGCCAAGATGCAGGTCAAAGGCAGCCCACACTGTGTTTATTAATCCTGGGAGTGCAATGTTCCCAGAACTGTTTTTCATTAAGCGAAGGCAAAACTCAACTCCCAGCGTCTTGCTTGCACGCTCTGAGCTAAACCGCCATCCTGTGGGGTCCTCTCTTCACATCCATTATCTGGGCCAAAGTCTAGCAGAGAACTAAAACTGCCAGGCCTGAGCACCACTTTATTTTTTAGTTTGGTTATACTGGCATCACTCTGTTCTCCCTTGTAGAATTAAGGAAGATCCTTTAGGTTTTCTGTTGTTTTCTTAAAGGACAGCATCCCAACAGTGCGCCGATCAATGTTACAAATCACTTGGGTATTTAGAGGGGCAGCAACCAGTATGCAGAAGAGATGAGGTCTGCGGAGGTCGTAGAGCAGGTCTTTTTTTGAAGACCCTGACCAAGATATGGCTTTGCTGGAGTCATTCCAGTTCCTTGGAAATGGAGACAATACTTGGCATGAAATGGGGAGTTACTCTGGTTCCTGTGATCCAGCTTCAACAGCAGCCTAAAACTGGTGTCTTTATACTGCGTGAGCTGGCTCGGCTCCTTCTGACAGGCGTTTTCGGATTGCGACAGATCGACAAGCTTGTCCGAGGGGTTTAGCGTTTCCTGCCACCGTTCTTCCAGGAGCCAATCTGCACCCTACGTGCTCCAGGCCAGTTGGGATCTCACCATCTGTTAAAACACCAGGTCCTGAAGAAGGTCGTTCCAACAAAGTTTAAAGGTCTCCAAATGGGGAGCCGGAGAAAAGGAGCTCTCTCCTACTCGGCCGTTAAAGCCTGCCTTGATTACTTTGATGTAACAACACTTGAAAGCTCCTATTCTTTGAAACTAATTTAAACACATTGAATTGTTGAAAGATTAAAAACCGCAGTCAGCTAATTACACTCACTCTCATCTCTTATTCAGCAAATGAATCACTTTTCATTACCACTTAGCTGAAGTACATGAATTTCTGCCTAATTAGAAATGTTGTAGATGGAGCATTAGCAAGGCTGGAGCGGGTCAGGATATCTTGCCTGCTTCATTTTTAATTCCTAACAGTAGAGCTAGATAGGCAAGGCTGGAGATAAGAAGTCATTAAACAATTTTAAATTATTTATAAAAATTACTTTGCCCAAATTATAATTATTTTTTTCCCAAACGCTCTCATAAACGTCAAATGGAATGAAAGGAAAAATCAGCCCAACATTGATTTTAATGAACATTTTAATGTTATGTATAACAGAACATTATGAATACAATGGAAACAAAGTTTTATCAATTTAATAATAAAAAAAGAGAAAGCCAATGTAAGAAAGGGGAGGCAATAAATTTCATACCTAGAGCATAGTGCTTATTCTCAATAATATTCCCAGCTTGTGAGTGTAACGATGTCTTTGCATTCCAGATCCGAGAATCATGATTCATGTGAGAACTTAAATGCAGAATTACAGCAGGAAAACAAAATCTTGAGTTCATTTCCTTTAGTTTCATTGCCTTTATTTTCGTTAAATCAATAAAATCTTTGACTGCTACAGGTTTCCTTTGATAATATATATATTTTTTTTATATATATATATATGTATTTTTAAACTCCTCTCTATTGGATTTCACAGAGCTGCTACTGCCTTATTTACACAAAAGAATCACGAAGGCTGTATAAAATCTAAAATCCAACACCGTTGGATTAAGGATTTAGAGATTTACATTAACTTAAAAAGACAATGTCGTTACTGTGTTACTCTCTTTGTAAAAGATGCAAAAAATAAACGCTTCTGTCTTTTGAATGCTGCTGACATTGTAAACCAGTGGCTCCGGAGAGATACGGGTGGTACGAAGCATGTTAGTTGCCACTGAGATAGAGCTGGGAAAGTGTATATATGCTGAAGTTTTGGAAAGGAAACCATACAGCAGCTCTTGATGAAGTCCCCCCTAGCTCTGCACTCGATACTAATTATAGCAATAGAGGTGTGAAAAGCCCCAAAATCTGTCCATCACCAAATTGCTGAAAGAGGTTTTTACAATAAAAATTTGGATAATATAGCAGTGTTGCTGGAACATTAGCAAAAGTATATATACATTCCAGGTCCCTTTGAATTAGCCATAATCACATATGTAAGCCATTTTGGACAAAAATATATATTCTTATAAAAAACTGATCATAGTACTTGAATGAGACTTCAAATATGGACTCAGAGTGGTAGTAAAAGGAATGGATCCACTTATGTCAAAGCAATTTAGGGGGTGGGGGGAGAGAAAAATCAAGCTCTTCCAAGGGGCAGAAAAGTATCAAATTAGATTCACACAGATTGACCCAACACCCGTTTCCCATCTGTGAGCAGGAGTCTGTGTTAAATCGGTTCTTCCCTCAAGGAAGGCATTGGATGCTGTTATTACAAAACCATGGCCTATTAACTGCGAAGCCATCCGATTGACTCGGAAGAACGCTTCGTCTCTGTGCAGTTTGACCGCTAGCTGTTTCAACACTTACAAAATAGCCTTTTGGTTCTTTTCTGTAGCTTTGATTTTAATTAATCAATAAAAGGAAGAGAAAAAAAATAAGGTATTGATCAGTGTTTGCCAGCCACCCCTCCCTGGGCTATGCTTGTACAGCTAAAAATCCTTCATTCGATTCGACTGAGTTTTGTTGTGGGTTTTTGTTGTTGTTTTTACAATCTTTATTTGCTAAAATTGGCAAAATTTGCAAAGGCATCTTGCTTGGGTTGCACAGTTCCAGGAGCCATAGCAGCGGTCATAGCTATATTGGGTACCCCCATACCCATTGGGCCAGTCAAACCCATTCCTGCTGCTGGCATCCCCATGCTGACATTCATCCCCATAATCCCCTGGTTCATCATTGGGGTGCTTCCTACGGAGGTCATACCCATTGTACCCGTCATCATGCTGGGCATCCCCATTCCCACGGAAACGGGGCCTCCCATGAGCGGGCTTGTTGGAGGTCGAACAGGCATCATGTTGGGCTGGGCGTTGAGGCTCACGGCTGCAAAGTTTTGAGTCATCACATTCATCGGTTGTTGCATATCTGCAGGAAGAGGAGATTGTAATTCTAGGCCATTTTAATCTCACAGTTAAACATCCTAAATTCCAGCCTCCTTTTAGGAGTAGTGTAGGTGCATTGATTGCTAACCCACAGGAAATGGAAATGTAAAAAAAACCAAAACCCAGTGTGTGCTAGGCAATTAACCTATAAAGAAGATGCAACTAATTTCCACCCCTCTTCCTTCTCAAGTGAAAGTTCAGGAAACTAACAGGTTGTTTTAAGTAGTACTTTACCCCCATCAGTATTGCCAGTTGATGATACTGCGCAGATGTCCTAGAATTAAAACTTGGAAATGATGCAAGACCCTATCACTACATTCGAGGCATCACAGGATTAAAAAACAGTCCGTGTCTTCATCTTGTGTACAGTTTAAAGGTAACAGTATTACCAATGGCAAGAGGCAGCATGGCAGATGCAACAGGATTACAACTAAAGTCCAATTCAAATCAGAAAAATATACAACTTAGCAGTGTTCTTTCTTCAGGACATCTCACCACCAACAGAACCTGTCTTAGAGGAGGGCGTTCATAAAACCAGTGCTCACTTACTCTGTTGCTGAATCATTGTGTTAAGTGATGGCTGCTGGGGTTTCGAAGGCTGCATACCAGGTACTAAATTGTCCAAACTGATATTTACACTGGGGTCTGACCATGTGGATGGCAGAGTTTTGCTGGCATTTTTCTGGACCATCTCTGTGCCTGGATTATAAAGAACGTTAGTCTTCTGCATCACAGCATTAACGTTTTGCAAAGGCTGGAACAAAAGAAAGAAAAAGGGTTTTCAAAATGATGCTCATTCAGTCGCATTTAATGCTTTAAGAGGAAAACAGACAGTTTGATCCCGTCTCAGTAAAATAAAATCAAAAGATGTCTGCTTTGGCCTGGAAGAGGTTAAAAGCCAAAGAAAGTCTCTAATTACAAAGCACCTTCTCTTTCCAAGTACTTTCTCCCCATTAGCTAGTAACAGGCACCAGTTAGGACAGTACTTACAAGCTGCCACAAGATCAGAGCTGCCTGCAGCAAGTCCTGTCCATTCGGTCCAGAGCTTTTTGAAACATAATTAAAGGTTCTTGTATCTAATCCACACACTTCGGTTTTAAAAATGAACTGCTTTCCACCGGAGTACCTTTCCTGGCTTCTGGCTAGCAAGCTGATGAAGGCAAGGACTAGTCCTTTGAGACTGGGCAACTCAACAGGTTTCAAACATTTCAAGGCCAGTGGTTCAGGTTCAAACTTTTCCCTTCTTTTCTCCCGATCAAAAAAGACCGCTACAACAGAGCATGTCAGACACTGACCAGCAAGACAGTCCAGTGCCAAGGCTCTTTATTACAGGGGCTTGCCAAAAAAGCATTTCTGGCACATTTTCTTCATGCAGGACCTAGCCATTCGAGGACTGTACAGCAGCAGCATACCTGTGACCTTGACAAGGGTAGATTGATGCCCACAGCACTAGAGCTCATCATCGAGAAATTCATGCTTTGCGAGGAGGTCATGGTTGCCTGGGAAGGTCCCATCAAATCAAAAAGATCGGTAGGACTGGAAGCAGTTGGAGGCTGCCCAACAGCTGGCTGTGAGCCGCTGAAGAGCTCCACGGCTGGCTGTGCGGTGCCGCTGAAGAGGTCTCCAGCTGAAGCACTGGGACACGGAGAGCCTTGGTTGAAGGCACTCCAGTCGCCAAATTCTCCGTTCCCACTTGTCGCTGTACCTGCGGGGGCAGACAGGAAGGAAGGAAGGTAAAAGACCTTGTGAAAGGCAAAGAACAAACGCCATAGTCTGTGAACTGAAACAAATGCAAGCTGATCTGTGTCCATACAGATTAACATCTGAAGGTAGACTCTCCATCTGGACATCATTCCTTCTCATGAATATTCCAACAGTTTTAACAAGGTAGCACAGGAAATATGAAACACCCACACACAGACAAAACCGGCATCTGATAACGTGCCACTTGTGGATCGACAAGCCGGACACAGGTTTCTTTTGCTTTCAGCTACATGATGGTGGAACAGACTGGAGGCTCTGGTCAAGACGGAGCCAGGACCTCCACAGACCTTATATCTCCTATAACCTACCTATCCCAGCTGATCCCAGCTAATGAATATTATACAGCTGTCATTTCATACCAGGCAAAGTTCACTGAAAACAGCTGCTGGTTCAAGACTATTTGATTCCGTAAAAATTCACTTTTTGCAGAGTACAGGGACACTGAGTAACACCCCAGTAAAACCAAGGGCTTTGGAACAGATTATCAAGAGATCTTCCCTGGGAACCAGGCAGGAAACCTTTTCCCTTTCCACCATGAGAAAGCACTGAGACCTTTCAAATGTTCGTTATACGAAAATAGCAGAGACCGAACAGCCCATGCTTGGCAGTTTGGGCATTCACCTGGGATGCAGGTTTTGGCCAGAACTTTCATCCTGGACCCAAGAAATTGTTTGCTGGTGAAAGCTGTCAAAAACAGATACGTTTCAATGCCATCATACCTTGTCAAAGATGTACAGCCATACAATTCGTGACCAGCTCTACCCTTATCTTTCTCTGTCTGCCTCCTAACATAGAGCTATAAAAACGTACCTGATTCTTGGATCGGGTGTCCTAATACCTAAATTAAGTCCAGATTGGGACAGGCCCCTGGAGCCAAATGGAAGCAGCTAAGTCCACTTATGCAAATGCATTTCCTGCACCACTTAAAAGAAAAGTGCAGCTTACAAGAAATATTGTTGGGTAACAGTTCACGGTGAAAACTCTTTGTAAGGAATCTGTAAAGTGCTCTTAGTCTTTGGGTGTCTTGGCTCCCAGGGTCTCAGCTGCCAGGCCACAGTCAGCTTTTTGGTTGTGGGCAGATGTTTTGGAGGTCCTAATTTCTGGCACATGAAATGCAGACAATGGCTTTGCTCACTACATGCATGTGTGGCTTAAAAGGAACATATCTGCCAAACGAGAGCTGTTACATTGTGCTGCAGCTTGCATCTCACCATGAAGTTGTCCCTCAGCTTCTAGCGACAAACAACATTATTGCAACAGGGAAAGAGCTCAGAACACAAATGAATGCATAAATCACATCTGCTCTCTGGCTTGTTCTCCATGTAAGCAAAGGAAAAGGCTTAACCTGCATAAAGCCTCTGCAGATGAAGCTGATACAAATTTCTAAGTTACCTGACCTATACACCTGGCTATAGTTACTATAATCCACACACCTGGCAATTTCCTAGAGCTGTATTTTGTCTAGTCAAAGGCAACTGCAATAATATTTTACACCCCACGTAAATACTTCCTAAGAACACCTGTGCATTCAAGCCTTGTTTTAATTATCGTTACCTCTACTAGCATATTAAAATTTAAACAGTGGAAAACAGAGGGGCAGGAGGAAAGCAGTAAGTTCGTTTACAAAACACCAGCACTACCAGCAATTTTACTGCAAGAAGTGGGCTAATACTCATTAGCTCAGGGCCTTACTAAAACATCTGCTTTGATCTCCCTTACAAAAGGGACTGTATTGGAGTATTTCAATTAGTACCGTGTATTAAAAATTTAAACCCACTTTAAGTATTCCTGATGGATAAGTAAACGCTGAATGTGCTGATTCTCTGTGTACTCAATGCACAGGTCTGAACTCACAATAATGGAAGTGGGGGTAAGAGGAAGAAGGTTTTGCCCCTTTCTGTAGAACTTCATAAAAGATGATTAATCAAAGAGAAAGGGATTTCTAGAGGGGCTTATACTGTTCAAGAATGATTAATCATTTCACAAGATGCCTGGTCCCTTGCATAACGACGATCAGAAAAGATTAATCATGTTAATGCAGATAAAGGATTGTATCATTTTAGGCTGTACTAATACACAAATTATTTGCATAGTAGGCGGCTTTATTTTACCAAAGAACTTTGTTTTGAGCAAGTATCACTGTAAGGAAGCCCATAAAGTAGGGCAGTGCTATTCTAAACTGTCAACTGAAACACGAAAAATCTATGTTAACTAAAAGGTGCTCTGCCATTTCCTAACATAGCGCACACTGCAGAAAGTTTGCAGATGCTAATGCTGATCTAGACAAATTGGAGGATTGAAGCAAAAGAAATCTCCTGAGGTTCAATAAGAAGTGCAAAGTCCTGCACTTAGGAGGGAACAATCCCATGCACTGGTGCAGGTTGGGGCTGATTAGCTGGGCAGCAGCTCTGCAGACAAGGACCTGTGGGTTGCAGTGGACAACTCTATTCTTCCCCTCTATTCAGCACTGGGAGGCCACATCTGGAGTCCTGTGTCCAGTTTTGGGCCCCCCACTACAGAAAGGATGTGGACACGTTGGAGAGAGTCCAGTGGAGGGCAATGAAAATGGTTCGGGGGACATGACTGGTGAGGAGAAGCTGAAGGAACTGGGCTGATTTAGTCTGCAGAGGAGAAGACCAAGAGGGATTGAATAGCAGCCTTCACCTCCCTGCAGGGGAGCTGGACTGTTCTCTGTGGGGGCAGATGACAGGACAAGGAGCAATGGGCTCAAGTTGCAGCAAGGGAAGCTGAGTTTGGATATTAGGAAAAATCTCTCTCACGAGGAGGGTGGTGAAGCACTGGAACAGGTTACCCAGAGAAGTGGTGCAGTCTCCATCCTTGGAGGTTTTTAGACCCAGGTAGACAAAGCCTTGGCTGGGATGATGTAGTTGGGCCTTGTCCTGCTTGCAGCAGGGGCTTGGACTAGATGTAACCTCCTGAAGTCCCTTCTAACCCTCCTTTTCTATGATGCTATGAATGCACAGGCAGGCTGGCTGAAGATCAACCACAGAACTGCTTTTATTAGTTTTAGAACTGTCAGATTTAAATATTACTAGTGCAGAATTCCTCATTTTCTCAATAGCATTTCATCTAAGTAAGATTTGTAAGAACAGACTCACTTGTTTTTTCCTTGTTACCCTATATTTTTTTTTGGCCAGCTGGAAACACTGGATATGTGGTATCAATTGGTTGCTGGAAGCAAAGCAATTCAGAAATGGTTGAGCCACGAGAAGAGGATGCTAAGAGGAAGAATAAAAATTCCCACTGCTCTTTGTTGAGACATCTTTAACAGTTTGAAGAAAGCTGTTCCTTCCTCCTCTTGCACTCCGGTACCCTTCTCAACAGCTCCTTTTCCTTCTTGGCATGACTCTCTTTCTGAACCTTGTAAACAACTGCCAAACTATACAAGGACACTGCTCAGCTTCAGTGAAAGCTGTATGTTCTCATCTGTAGGCTGAACTCAATGGGGTTGTCCCAGAACACAAAGGGCATAAAATGTAGGCCCCCAAATGGATGGATAACCCCCACTGCACCCTGAAGCTTTGGAAAGTATTCCCCAACACACATCTGCCAAGACTATTATGCCCTTGTCTCTCCATTCAATTCATTTCAAAGGTTTTGTTAATCTAGGGAGACAGGCGGGATCTGGGGGATCTCTTTAGGGACTGTCATTTGTCTGGCACAGGCGGGCTGCTATTCCTCATTGCATGTGATCCTACTTTCATGGGCAGATTGCTTCCGGGGGTGGGAAGTTCTCCTAAGGTTGAGTTCCAACCTGCTAGTAACCAGAGCCACTGCTTAGGTTGAGATTTTGGTGGGATCTAATATTCTACTTTCTATCAGGACTCCCAACATCCTGAAATCCTCATGAATATTCAAAGAGCCTCCCAACGTAGTTCTCTTTCCTGTTCCAAAGCCCTTAAGACGTGCAAAACCTAGAACAGGTCCCTGCCACAAGTCTGCTGATTATCCTCACGCTGTGAGGAAGGTCCTTCAAGCCACGTTTTGGCCTGTGATTATAGCTAACCTAATGTACTCTTTTTTGGAGCTGGGCTACCATCAAGTGTTTTATTGAAATATTGCTGTTCCACCAAAGCAATAATTTTTTTTTAACGTTTGCATCTATCAGAGAAGAAACTTGTAAACTGTTGGCTGGACTGATTAGGAGGGGGCCAGCTGCCTTTTCTGAGGAAGAAGAGGTTGTCAAATAACTTTGAACAGCAGAAACATTATTATGAACAATAATAAATCGGAGTAGTTCTATTAGCAACAGCCAAAGCATCTCCAGTCACTTAGGAAATGCAAATACTGTCAAGCCTGGAGCACTCATCATACTATTAAGCCTCCTATTAAAACAACTTCTCGTTCCCATTTCCAAATATCATAAAAATGCAAAGTGCTTTTACAGTGTGTAGGTTTTCCTTCTGTTTTGTAAATGTTTTTTCACCCAACAGGCTAACCCAATCTGTTGAGTACTTTGCATATGTTTTACCAACTTCAATTTCCACCCTAAAAGACCCCCGCCCTTTCTTGTGATGGCTTAAAACAGAACGAAAGTCCAGATTTCGAATCTGTTTAATTGAAACTAATTTCACTACAATGAAAGCTATGCTGGAAGCGCCCACAGCACCTTCTCGTCAGCAGTCTTCTCCTACCTTGTGACGAGGGGAAGCTTGCTGAGGCAGCAGCAGAGCTGAAGTCGGCAAATCCCCCAAATGGGTCAGTCGATCCACCTGGAATGGGGCAAAAATCAGAGTGCCGTTATAGGATCTGGGAGAAGTGTCCACCCAGCCACTCCATGAGGGATTTCACTGTACTCCAAAACCTCTGCATTTAGTATTGATATATCAATACAACAGATAGGTCTGTGCCATCTTTCTGGTTTTATCATCATTACTGCAAGTCTGGGATGACAAATTTAATTATTTCCACATATACTGATGATCTAGTTGTACTAGATGGGACCTCCTGAGAGCCCTTCCAACCCTCATTTTCTCTGATTCTATGATCTAGCATGTATTCTGGTTGTGCCATATATATCTCCTAAATATCCAAGTTTAGGTTGGATATTAGGAAAGACTCAGAGATTTATAAGACCCAGGTAGACAAAGCCTTGGCTGGGATGCTGTAGTTGGGGCTGGTCCTGCTTGGAGCAGGGGGTTGGACTAGATGTGACCGCCTGAGGTCCCTTCCAGCCTGAATTTTCTCTGGTTCTCTGGGGAGTCATCAATGAACACAACTTACTTCCTTAGTTCTTCCTAAATTAATTTGCAGAGATTGAAAGATATGAAATGATGTAGCACTGTTCTAGTTCAGCAGAAATATTAATAGGAACTTATTAAATTAAAACTTCAGAGGCAGAAATATGTAAAAACAAAAACCCGTTTCTAGAAGATTCCACTTATTATGCCACTGACCATGAAAAATTCAGCCTTCTTATATTTAGTTTTTGTGTTACTTAAAGCACGAATGATTCGGCGATGATCCTGGATTCAAGATTTCAAGGGCAGAGCTTGCACTGGTGTTCTTTTTTTTTTTTTAATATGTTTGCTTCCTTTCTAAAGCGAGCAAGACAGAACTCCAAACCACACATTTGCAAGCTACCAAATAAATTATTAAGTCTCGAATACAGTATTGTAACTGCTTTTCATTAAAGCATACTAAACCAAGCTACAAAAAGGAAGGCGCTTTAAAAGCTATGAATGGGACAACAAATGAGATAGAAGGATGGTTTTCTTGCCAAATGCAAATTTGCTTTCCAGTCTAGTCTTCTTATCCCTTTCCCCCTATAGTTTTTAACCGGCCATTCTAGTGACCTGGGAATACCAAAGAATTGACCTTATTTTGTTTGTCCTTAAAGATTTCACCTCTGAACACTCGCACCCTTCGGAGTAGCAGCAGCAGTTCAATTATTGTGCTTTTAGTGTTATACATACATTATACAGGTTACATCACAGCTGCTTAGCCTGCAGTGCTTAGAAACTAGCCAGGTGGGACTGGAACATCTGTGCTGCACTCAAACACCACCAGGGACAGCTTCCAACATCTGGTGCCATTTCTGAATTGTCTTATCGCTGCAAGACATTCTGCCCCATCTGCTACTCTCAACTGGGTTAATTAAACCAGAACCATCTCCTTTTTAATAAATGGCTAGCAGTAATAAAAGGAACAATTCCGTTTCTAATGCATGTGTACCTGTATTTCTTTTTAATGTTATTTAATTGTAGACAATATCAGGGAGGCATGACTGTTTTTCAAAAAAGAAATGGCCTCTATCTGCAGATTGTGTATGATTTAATAAAAAGCAGCAAACAGAAAGCAAGAACAGCACTTCTGAATTCCCAGGAAAGGGTTGTTCCATTGTCATTCCCGTGCTGCCTTTTTTTTTTTTAAGAAGTTAAGATATTTCAGTGATAGGATGATGCAAACCTCAACAGTTATGGTACACTTTGCATTGATGATGTTTATCAAAGGTGCTTTTTAAACCGGTTGTATACAAATATAAAGAAATGTCATACTGAATAGTAGCACAAAGGTGGATGGGAGGTAGCTAAATAGCAAAAGCTGGAAACTCAAATGGTCAAATTTACCAGCTGAGTCTACTGCAAAGTAAATATTTTTATGGGAATCTCATTTGCTCCCTGTTAAAAAAGGGGTGAATTACTGATTTCTCTGCCTTTTCTTGCACACAGAATAGACAACAGGGGTTTCCTGCTCTCTGTTATGCCAAACCATGTCCCCGACAGAAATACTTCTCTTCTAGGCCTACAGTGAAATCTCATAGCCACAAAGGTTGTTATACAAGATGTTAACAGGGCTGAAAGTCCAGGAGACTGATGTTAAACTTGCACCTAACCTCAAATCTAAAGAGGTTTTTGGGGTTTTTTTGGGAGAGGAGGGGGAGTGGGAGGGGTGCTGATTATTCTCCATGTTTGTGTTAATTCTCAGCCTTGGCAGCTTGTGCTCGCTCGGTTTCATTTTCAAATTGAACATTTCACTCAAGAGGAAAGAAACAAAACCTGTGCTCACGGCAATAGCAGCAGTCCCCAGAGGGGGAAATCACTAGGCTAGAGGTAAAAGACTTAGTCTCCAGTCATCCTAAACAGAAGTAAGACTGGCGAGGTGCCACATGGATACAGCACCTTTCTGCTGGCATTACTTCTCTAAGCAAGTCTGCCTTTCCAGCCAGGCTGGAACTTGTACAGGTTTAGCCATTTGTAAGTCTTGAACCTCAGCACTGCTTCTCACTTGAGCAAGTTTTGTTGCATCTTCCCACGTTTCAAAAATTAAGCATTTGCAGCATCTACCATGCTGCAACAACACATGCAGATGAGTAAATCTCTCTATAGATCTTTGAACTCGTGGTATTTTTCTGCCAATTTCTTTACAGGAAGATCAAAGCCTCCTTGCAACCCCTTCACTGTACTTTGCTTGACATAGGGACTGTCCCCACACCCTGTGCTGCAAGGAGCATACTGGTCATCAGAAGTGACCTGCATGTGAAGGACAGTGCTAATCCTCACAATATGAGCTAGTTTCAAGGATTCCCAGGTGAGATCTGTTGCTATAAATGAACTCTTTCCATCTGTCTTCTCAGGTCAGTACAGAGGTTATTTACAATGACTAGCAATTAATGCACCTCTTAGCACAGTTCTGAAATGCTGTTGTGAAAAAAGTGGGGGAGGGAAATAGCTTTACCCAGCACAGAAAGAAAATGAGAAGCTCAGAGATGTGGAAATGGGGAAGAATACAAAAGCTCCATTTGTCTGAAATGCAAGGAAGGTTGGCTTCTCTTCCACCCAGGAGAGCACACGAACACCAACAGACTTTCCCTAAGCCTGAAGAAGGGTGTTTGTGCAAGGAAGCTTGCAAAGAACACATTTTCCAACTATTTAATTGGTCTAATAAAAGATACACATTTACCAAAAGCACCTTGTCTAGCTTAAAATGAGACATCCTGCTTAGTTTATTTTTTTTAGTAACTAGAAAGGCTTTAAAAGCCTAGCCAGTTTCTTTGCCTAGATGGAAGTGGCCATGTTGCAAAGTACGGAAGGCCAAAGTTTTCATGGGTACGACTGAAACCTAAAATGCCTGTTTCAGCATGTTCTTGCAGGAGATTAAAACCCCAAGGAATCCTGGCATCTCCAAGACGTACAACACATTTGAAACCAGATTTAAAAGGAAAAAAACCCAGCAAAATAGGCTTTTCAGTGAAACTTGAGGGACAATATACCACGAATGAAAAGACAAATGGATTTTGCTTCTGAAACATCAGCATGACTATGGATCTAAACATCCTCAGAGGAGCATGCTTCTTAAGCGTATTTGACCCATCTTTCCCACAATACAAACAGTTGTACAAAATCATTAGTGTCACGGACATGGAACCAGAAAGCAAGACAGATGCTTGTTTATCATTCAACTTTGTTCAAAGAAACAAACAACTGGCAAGAGAAAGACTTTTAACGTTAAACAGAAGTTTATTAACTGTATTTGTATTTGCTTAATATTTACACTACAGCTGCACTCTCAGCCCCAGGCAGGCCTGGGACCTTTGTGGCTGTTGCATGTGCAGCTGAACCACCGACTATCCCGAAGGTCTTACCAAGTTTCTAGGGTACAGTGAGGGGGCCCATTCACCCGTGATACTAGCTAGGCACTGATCCTCTAAGATTAACAGACAAAAAGCCAGGTAGGGCCCACATCTGTTAGGAAAGTATGCTTTAAGAGATGTAGACTTGTTTCCCAAAGTAAGCCTAACACTATCTTTGGTCTCCATCAGTAGGATTTGAACCAGTGGACCAGTCTTTCCAGGCCACTAAAATATTAACCTGCCTACCTATCCCCCCAGTTATGCAGATAACAACCTACCACTGTTTCTGTTTAATTAAAATAAAATTTCGGTTGCAAATAGAGAAAGCAAGCGTCTAACAAACGCTTCTTGACAACTAAGAAGGGACACACTGGTGCCTAATGCTTCCCTTTGCTCCAAGCGATCTTGATACCAGTGAGGGGAAAAGTTGCATCGAGATTCTTCTCCAGTTAATGTTTCTCCAGTTGCTCCAGTAAAAATGCCAAACATGCATGAAAGAGTCCCTTTAATATTGTATGCTGGCCCCAACTGCAATAGTTGATAGCAAAGATCAGTAAGCATGATAGTAAGTCTATGGAATGACGCTGGTATTTTTCTTTTAAATCAGTTCCAAATTGTACTCGTCTTTCCCAGGCACTGAAATTAAGGGCTGCCTGAAAGAATAACTGTAGTTTGACTGTTTAACAACAGTTAAAGCAGTAATATACAAGCACTGTGGATTTAAATTTCAGTTCATATTTAAAGAGTAAAGGGCCATCATTTTTTTAACAGAAGTTAAACAAAACAATATTTGCTTTTCACTATTAAGGCTGGGGTTATCCAAGGGTCATGATAGCACAAGATAAAAGAAGCGAGTTTGCTTTTGCCATATACAGTACATGTGGCTTGTGAATGGAAGTCATCCGTTTCTATAGCTGCCTATTCCCCTAACTTGTAACATGAGAAATGTTTAAACCTGACTGGATTGTTCTTGCTTTTAGAATTAATTATAAATAACTCTGCATTATAGCCCATGCGGTTCCTGACAGACTGATTTAGTGGTTAACCTTTGAAATGCAAAGGTTATTAGTTCTATAATATGGTATTTTGCGTCCCATTATATAAAACTGTATGTAGCGCTACATTTTTAGGATACTTGCCACATTTCTTAGATTCTCATTTTCTATCTATTCTCCTTTATTTCTTACATTATTAAACCACACACTTGTCCACAGTCATCACATATACTTATTGTATGAGCCAGTGAAAGAAAACAAAAAGGCAGCTTACCCGCTGAGACTGGCTGGCTGGCACCATCAAACAGCAGATCTACTAGGTCATTAGATGACTTGCTGCCGGAGGGTACGGAAACCTAAAAAACAAAACAATTTATCAGCTTCTTTTTAAAAACCACCACTGAAGAGTCCCCTGTAGTCCAGATGCAAGGAACAAACGCAAGAAGTTTGTGAAAAGGAAGCCCAAACTGAAAGGAAATGGCATTTGTTTGAGGATAAGAGAATGGTCCCTTTGGGAAGGGAAGATCACTGGTGAAACACCACTTGGTATTCATAACTTCCTTTGTCTTGGTTTGGACCAGGAAAAGGGTCACCCCCTTTGCTGCTGCTGGGTAGCTGTCTATGCTGAACAAGAAGCGAGAAGATGTGAGAATTGGGCAAAGTCCAGGAATGACCGGTAATTTTCTCATGTCCCGACTATGGCATAAAATGCCTGAACAGATACAGATGAAGATAGCCAGCTTGCTCTGCTTTAATAGAATCAGTTTCAGAGAATGTGAACTTAAAGACAGGCTGAAGAAACCATCTGGATGCTACAGAAAAACAGATGCCAACTGAGCTTACAAAAGTCAGTTTAAGATTTGTCTGATTACCATACACAGAATGGAAGTCTTTATGTAGATACTTACCCTGGGATTAAAAGAAAAAAAAATTGTCTGTCAGAATAATGATTCTGCTTTGAAAAAGTCTGGAAAAAAGCAGCTCCATGGTGATTTACAACTGGAGTGAAATAATTATCCTGATAGTGTTATACCAGAACAAGCCACCAGGTAATGGGAAAAAGTTGTTTCAGGAGCTGAGAGATGAATTGTTTTGTGAAGCTTCTCAGAAAAGGCTGTGTACAGACAAGCAGTCACATTAATGTTAATTATGAGAGACGGGGACTTAGGATGCATCAGCTGTTCTGAGGCAACTATTCATGTGCTCACTATTACTCAGTGGTAAGTGACAGCTGAACTGGGGCAACTTGCCCCTAAATGGAAGAAAGCTAAGGTGCCCTAGTTCAGCTTTCGGCTACCATGAGGTTACTACAGGAACACGAACAGTGACCATGCATCAGCTCTTCCATGGTGCCCAGCCTACCTATTCACTTTAGAAGCGAAAATGTGTCCATAAGCTACAACTTGTACTGGCAAGTGCAACTTTACTGTGACTAAGGCCAGATCTATGCTGCCTCCAGGTCAAGCCTGGGACCGCTGCTAGGGATGGCACTCCAAACCTAAATTTCTAGGCTTCAGCTCAGCTAACATAGCTAGCTTAGAGCCCCCTACTAAGGGGTGCACTCAAGGCAGAGTAGTGCTGGGGTCACTCTATGCTAAACCATTTGGATTTTAGCATATGCCGGCTATGAGTAAGTGTTTAGGGAGTGTTTTTCAGCAGCAGAACAAGTACTGAAGAAGTGCTGAAAAGCCCTAAGGAACCCTGCCTTGGCAGGCAAAGGAGACAGCAAAAGGAGGATACAGAGGCCAGCCTTATAGCATGGCAGCTAAATGCATCAGGAAATGTACACTTCTCACAATGACTCCTGATGTTAAGCAACTGTTCTCTTGAAAAGCAAGTTCTTTTCTCAGTTAACTAATACTAAAGGCAGCTGGAAACTTCAAAATACAATTTGTGGCTAGAAAATGCCAATTGGTCAAAATGGTTTGTGGTAGAAGGGTCTGTTCCAACAAAATCTCCCAAAAAGAAAAAAAAACTTGAAAAATGCTTTGAAAATTGTTGACCCAGTGACAGACAGACTCAGATTTCCACAAACAAGCTTCCGAGCAGGAATGTCACCGGTTCTTTCTTCGAGTCATCGCACTTCCATACATTAGTTCCAAACACTGACTCTGAGCCAGAAATCGAGCTTGAAAGAGATTGCTTTCAGGATGAGGAGGCATAAGCTAGTATGAACTAGAAGAAATCTCTTTTGATATTACGTTCAGCAGCAATCCTTCCGAATCTAGGAAAAGAGGAATTCCAGATGGAAGAACTGGGCAAACAGTAAAGGAAACATGTGCACCTGCTACCTGCTGTCATTTTAAGGAGCAGTGCCTTGTAGACCACCTACGCTCAAAAAGGAGCATACATTTTTCTCAACTTTTTTCTGGCTGTGATTGCAACAACCGTCTAAAGAAGGGGCACACCTAGAAGACAGCTTCCATGCCTATAGCAGTTAAGTGATTTTGATTAGTAGCAAAACAGCACTAATTGAGGATGGCTGAATTTCCAGGTGTGATACTGAAACCCTGGGGGCTTAGTCTCTTGTCTGATGAATGGACAGCACAAAGGCTCAGCTGGTCAGACCGTTTTCAAGGAGTCTTTGATATGCCAGACCTAAATGGATACTACAATGTCTGCTTCTTATCTGTGCATAACTGCTTCAAATAAAAGAAGAGTGCAGACTAAGTTCATGATGCAGAAAAGTTCTACTTTGCAAATCACTGGCAAATTAAAACTGATGTGTTGGTAGTGTTGGAGATATATCATAGCTGCGATAGCTTAGGAAATATGCAAAAGAAAAGGATTTTTCTTGATGATATCTGTCATTGGACCAGCTGCATGATTGGGATGGACTTAGGCAAACTTTTGCATGCGCTAAATGCAAAAGCTTGCCCAAGTCTGTTCCTTGCCACTGACGATGTGTTGCCAGTGTTGGAGAGATGTAGCCATGATGGTCCAAGAGGAAGAATGTGCTGCATGAGAAAATTTGTCTAAGTCTACCCCAGCTGTGCAGCTGGTCCAACACAATGTCACCAACAAAAATCCTTGCCTCTCTCAATGTGTTTGAGAGGTGTTTCCCGTTTTCCGAGAGATGACAGCAGCTTCTCTAAATTTTCAATGCTTTGTGCTACATGCAAAATGAATCTTAAGGTTCAAAGAGTGTGGACTGACCACAGGCAGTGGATTGAAGGAGCCTAGCAGGCCCATAATTATGAGGAAAGAAAAGTCAGGAAGAGAACAGAGGAGGTATTTAAAGAAAAAAACCAAAAAAAAACCCAGGTTAGGATAAGACCCAGGGAATCTAGGATGGTTACAGACTTCCGCCATTCTACACGGACACTTATGTTCAAACACTGTTGTGAAGCATGCTTTTTAGCCGAGTCATAGTTTGCCTTGTGTATGGACAGAAAAAAGGTCCCCCTGAAACAGAAGCCATGCAGGTGAACCACATATATTCTAATAGTTATTCCTGCAGTGGACATAGGCCTGTAATTGAGCACTGACCCTAGACAGAGATCTCTAGCAGCTAATAGCAGAAACTGTACAGAGAGGTTGTAATGAGCTGTCTCATCATTGCAAACACACAATATGGTTACCAGGCAGGAGCAAGGAAAGGAAAAAACAAAAACAAGCTACTATTAGCATTTTCTCTTCTTAATTTCCAAGCTGTTTGGACATCTTTAATTCAGCCATGTGTTAAGTAAAATCATGCTTATGTATTTTAAGATTGTTGGTTAAATTACTTGTAGCTGAACATTTTAAACAAAATTGCTAAGTAGTACTGTATAGCAAACCAATGTTTGAAAGCTATAATGCACACACCTGGGAATTAAAAACACAGGCATCTTTTGATTCCATAAAGAACTGCAGAAGAAAAGTTTTTGGAGAAAGATAAAAAAAAAGTGCAACTTTCTTGCATAAAAACAGAAACTGCCCACCCAGAGTGGGTGTAGAGACAGCACTGTGCTACCTGATAAGACATTTCAGCATTCTTGAAAAATCCCTCCATTAGATTTCTAGGAAAACTCCTGGGATTGCTCTGTAACCTAGCCAAGTACAGAACTTTCCTGTTCTTAAAAGTAAAAATCCTGGTTTCAGAGCTGGAGAGGGAGTAGATTCCAAGGCTCAGTTGTTCCCGTGCTGCTGTCTCACCTTTCCTGTAGTCTGTGGGGTATGAGCTGCGGCATTCTGATCTGGACTTGCTTTGTCCCCAGTATAATGTGCTGCTGCTCCTAAGTCAATGGTTTTGGAAGGATTTGCTGTGCGCTTGTGTCTGGTGGTGGTGGTCTCTGTAGCCTGTGTAATATGAATATGTTTGGTTGTCACAGTCTCCTCTTCATCTTTGAATTCACCTTTGGGAGATTTACCTCTTCTTGATTTTTCCTCATCGCTGTCACTAGAAAAGGGATAGAGCAAAATAATATTAATAATAATAACCATATATATTATTCTATTTTCGAATATCCAGAGCCTACAAATCAATGGGGATGTTTCTATTTACTTCAATGAACAGTGGGATCAGACCAAGAATTGTAATTATAAGAGGAATACAGCTTTTATATTTGAGGTACTGCACCCTTATACAGCACACTAGAAAGCATTATGTAGCATTACCATCACTGTAGAGATGAGGTAATAGAGAGCAAGTCATTTTGTCAAAAGGTCATGTGAGAAGCGAGTGGGAGGGATAAGAAGAGGGCCCACTGATTTTGTGGCTCCTACAGCTCCTGCACAACAGTTACCACAATCACAGTCAATGAAAGTTCAGAGACTGTGTGCAGGGTGTGGCACAACAGGCACACAGCCTGCAATTATAAGGGTACTGAGAAAAAGTTAAGCAGGGAAACTTTAAACATTGATGCTGCATATACATGAAGAGATCAATAAAAGTAAGGGCATTAGCCTTAAGATTTTAAACACACCAGTTCTACTCCTAACCCATTCCCCACCAAGATAAATGGGCTTCTATTATTTTCTTTAAAGTGTTTGTGGAAAAATCTGTTACCCAGCTTTATTAAAGTAGTTTTACAGTATTATGCAAAGCTGTTATTCATTTCCCAGCACAGAAGACAAATTTATTCTTATAACTAAAAGCACATAAGTGTCAATTTTAGTTGGAAAAAAAAAATTTGTTCATCGCAGTGTAATAATTTGTTTAAATCTCTGACCATTAAATTCTCTATTCTTATATCTTAAGCTTTTTTTTCTTCTCACAAACAAGTAGTAATTAATTTTTAGAGCCGGCGTGTTGCATTTCATCACCAGGATAAGACTAGTACATGACAATGAAAACCGCTGTAGGGAAAGTTTAAGTATATTTAAAAGTATTTTGAAATAGCAATTCTCTTTCGGATACACAGTTAAAGGCAGAAGTCTTTATATTTTAATAATGCAGGAGAGTACTAAAACACCCAATTTAAGAAGAGACTGTCCCTTTGTCAGTGGCACTGTGACCATAACTGCAATACACCCTGGAGGTTTCATCGATTTCATAGATGTTAAGGCTGGAAGGGACCTCGGAAGATCATCGAGTCCAGCCCCCCGCCCCAGGGGCAGGAAGTCAGCCGGGGTCAAAGGATCCCAGCAAGATAAAATGTCCAAATGTCTCTGAAAGGAGTCCAGAGTAGGTGCTTGCACCACCTCTGGAGCAGTCTTTTCCAGGCCTTGGGGGTTCAGACAGTAAAGTCATTTTTCCTATGTCCAGCCTGAAACGGTCTTAGAGGAGTTTGTGACTGTTTGACCTTGTCAACCCTTGGGGTGCTCTGGTGAACAAGCATTCCCCCAAATCCTGACGTACCTTTGTTCTCCAATAACCAGGGCAAGTTTGGGGGAAATACTTAGTACATTTCCCATTTCCTCTGTGTGTGTAATATATGCACCGCTGGGGGGTGGCTCAGTTCATTCATATCAGTTAGTATAAGTGCCCAACACTTCACTTGCTTCTCCAAAAGAAGTTTAGTGATTAATGAAGCCCAATCTGTAGACTCATAAATATCATTAGCCAGACAAAACTTAGGAAAGCACAGTGAAATATTCTCAGGTACCTTGACCAGTGAACCTCAACCCTGACATGTAGCAACGGTCAGGTATTCCAGCTCTGGCCCTGTAAATACAGACTGGAAAGAGCGCTGTGTAGGAATGAGTGAATAGAAGGAGACTTAATTTCAATGTCTAAATCTCCAGAGATTACTGGCTTATTTAGTGGTCCTCAAGAGTTTGGGGCTGATAGCTTACTCCCAGGCCTTAATATTTCTCAAAAAAATCCCAGGCACCTTTACTAAAAGGTTACTGGAAGAGGCAGAGTCCCAGTTTAATCTGTGGACTGCTTACTACGGCCTCAACCAGTCCAGAACCTAGCACATTAGTACAGCAAATCAAGTAGCTTCTGCTTCCCTCTACTGAGGCTAGGTGCAGACATTCACAGATTTCATAGACATTAGGGCTGGAAGGGACCTCAGACGATCATCGAGTCCAGCCCCCCGCCCAAAGGGCAGGAAGTCAGCTGGGGTCATAGGATCCCAGCAAGATAAGCATCCAATTTACTCTTGAAGGTGTTCAACGTAGGTGCTTGAACCACTTCCGACGGCAGGCTATTCCACACCTTGGGGGCTCGGACAGTAAAGAAAGAAATTCAAAAAGCCTGAGGCAGAAATGATCTAAGTTACGTGGATTTCTGTAAGCAGCATAGTTTAGATTGGTAACAAACAGAAGACATTTGTCCTTGGGGGAGGGGGGGATGAAAGGGGGAGATG